CGACACATTCTGTAAAGTATATGAATGTCTAACCACCATGCTGAAAGTAATACAAAACGATATTGAATGTCAAATGTCGTTGAAAAATACATTTTTTTAAAAAAATGTAGTTATAAAAATTATAAAGAATAAAATTTGTTAAATCCTTGGTATCTAAAAATCTTTTAATTTCCTAATTAGATCTTGAATATCTGTCTATAATTAATCGTGTTTTCAGATTGCTCTGAAATGCTTTAAAGCTTCTTTTTTTATTCTAACTTGTTATTTGTAGTCTTCTAAATGCCACTCAGACAGTTAACATAAAAATAGCCATAAATACATCATAAAGGCAGTCTAATGAAGTGAAAGGTAAGCAGAAGGATTATTTCTAAGTGAGCTGAAAGGATCTCCGAGACTGGCTCCCACTCCCACCTCCGCCGAGGAAGAAATGGAGGCACCGGAGGGAGACTGACTTGCATCTCCAGGTGGCAAGGGGCAGAGTTGGGACCACAGCCCACCTGTCGTGACATCCAGTTGGCCTTCCCCTCCGGTGCCTCAAGCTTGAGCCAGCCCACCTGCCAGTTTCCTTAGGTTCTCGTCCAGCACAGATGAAGAGAATGCTACTGTTCGATCCCAGAGAGGAGAACATTCTATTGGTTTTTCTGTAGGTTCACCCAGTCTAACCTGTCACACAGGTTCACCCACATTTTGCAGCCAGTTCTGCAGCACTCCAGACTGGGCTGGTGTTCTAACTCCTGTTATTGTCACCACATAAAGTGCCAGAAATGAGTTTCATGCCTGATGGCAGAGGGTAAACCAGGGCACCCTCCACTGAAAACAAAGCACCTCCCAGAGACTGCCCGAGGCCGCTGCAGCTAGCTCGGGGACAGACGGGGACAGACCACGTTGGCTTCAGTACATACGCAGCAGGCCACCTGATATGTGGATGTTGGCAAGGAAATTGTTCAAGTAGAACTGAGAGATAAAGAAATGATTTTCTTGTATCTTTTTAGGATAGAATTCATCATGAAACCTTATTTTTCAACTAGACGTTTTCATAATTTAATATGTAATTTGCTAACCACATAGGGAAGAATTTACAATTGAATTTATTTGGAAGCTTGGCTATTTTCATGGTCACTCTAGACAGCCAGTAATCCCACCAATAGCACCCACCTAACAAAGTCCCTCCTATGCAGTTGAAACCAATACTCAGATTCTCAGCAGCGCATCAAAAGGCATTAAATGCTCAATTATGCAGCATCACTGCTCTGCGAGGCACAGTACAAAGAAAACAACAGAAGCCCCTACCAGAGGCGTCAAATAACTGTAAAACTTACTTAACGACAAAATCACAAGCAGCTATGAGGTTCAGAAAATAAGAGTGACTGTAAGACACAGAATTAGGAATCTTTAAATTAGCAGAAGCTAAAAATTAGAAATGACAGCAATGGGTAATAGTCACTAGATGCTGGAGACAAGGCAGGCAGCAGTAGCAGGGCAGACATGGGAACACTAGCAGAGCTCAGTGAGCTTGTGAACTGCTACATCTGGAGGAGGTGGGTAAAAGGGGGGTGCCAGGGCGGAGAGGGCGGCTGTTAACAGCAAAGGTAACGGAACAGGCAGGAAGCCCATTCAGGGGCCCGGCAATGGGCAGTTGGAAGCTGATCCCAGCTCCACAACCAGGAGACAGGCCATGGGCACGCTGCCCTCACACCTTTGGGTACTTACGCAAGCAACAACGATCCTGAATTAGATGACTTCTAAGATGCCTTTTGGTTCCAATATTCTGAGTCTCTAGTGCAAACTAATTCATATGACCCAAGTAATTACCTAACCCCACTTGGAACTGGAACCTTCCTGACTTTCTGGAGGTATGTGAACCCAAGCACAGGAGGATGGCACAGCTTGAAAACAGCGTGGGCACCTCGCTGACCCATCCTGGTGAAGGCCCCTTTGTTACAGGATCTGAACAGCAGCGTCTTACCACAGCGCGGCTCCTGCGGAGTCCCTTTCATAAACAGCATGCAGGGGGCAGCATGAATTAATTTCTTCAGGCGAAGGTTGAGGTCTTCTTTGGGGTGCTCACTACCACTGGGTGGGAAGGAGCCCACAGATGCATGTCGTTGAACTTTTTTGGTCAACTCTGGGGCATGTGCACCATCTAATTGGTCAATTTTCTGAGAATTCTAAAGTTAAAAAACTCATTTAGTATGTGAGGCATTCCTCCGTCACCTCTATATTTTAGGCTCCAAAATTATAACAATTATGAATCCATAGTTCTAGCCAATTTTTAAAGGGGTCAACACTATTACTGGAAAACTTTTTAGAAATCTGACTACCAATTGCCTGCAATGCATCTCAATTTTAGAAATAACTAATTGTTCTTTTTTTCTTTCTTCCCTTTTTGGGAACATACTAGGAAAACATCCGTAAATTTTCAAATATCAAATCCCTTCAAGTAGTTGATGTTTTTCAAGAGTGCGGTACAAGAATTTCTGACACATTTACACTTACATGAGACTCACTGGGCTGGCTGTAAACATCACCACATCTCAAACTCAAGCCAGACCCGTCTCACCTAAAACAGAAAGATTTCCCCACTCTGGCTGGGATGCGTCCTTTATTAAGTATAAAGGAGGCATCTGGGACTGGGGTAACACCCAGGGGGCCCTAAGGACAGATCTGCATGGCTTCATAAAGGAATCATTCCTCAAACCAGGGCCAGCCCGCAGTTTCATTCCGTCCACGCCGCCCTAGCAACCAACTTCTGGCCCAGCGCCAGAAACACTGTGGGTCTACAGCAGGTAACTGAATTGCTCTCAAGAAGCTCCAGTTCTGGTTGCTGGACCTCCAAGCCATGTCCCTTTTCCAGGACCCCCAGGACAAGCAAACACTGAGACTACGAGTAGGGACAAAGCCAGAAACAACCCAATGGGAATGTTCAGGGGTCAGGGGAGAGGGTAAAGAAACCAAAACAGAAACCCCACGGCCCAGGGCAGAGGAGACGCTCTTGTGCCAGCTTTATCCTTACCTTGAAAAACAGAAACGTGGGAACAGAACTAATTTCATATTTTTCAGATACTTCAGGAACAGCTTCGGCTTCCAACTTTAAAATAAGAGAATTTAAGCTTGATTATAAAAGGGTCCTTTTTGACAACTTCAATATGTAAATCAGTTTCACATGCATTATTCCTTCTAGTAGTTGACGTTTTTTAAAGAGTGTAGTACAAAAGTTTATGACACATTTACATTTAAATGAGACTCACTGGGCTGGCATGTCATCCACTGAGTCTGCGGTGTCAAAACAGGTTCAGAGGTTTTTATTTTGTTGCACATTTCAAAAGATGCCTGGAGGCTGTGAATAAAATTTTTGGTGCACTAGTGACCTAGTAAATTTTCAATCATATGCAGCTACTACTATATTGAAATCCATAAATCACTGACCCCAGTTATGTCATGATTACAGTGCTTATTTTCTGCCCACAGCAATTCTTGCTGTTTGCTCTATTGACTAATTTCAAGAGGCAGTACATCATGACTGACAGTTGCAGCCTTCTGCAAATTATGAAGCAAAAAGGAGTATTTCTTCAATAAACTATTGATGTCTGATAAATTTTACTTTTAACTCCTGCAAGGCTGCTGGGCACGAAGCAGATACCTTGCAGGTTCCTGGCTTCGGGTATCTGCGCCCATTTGAATGCCTGTGAAATGAGATGAGTGCACGCTGTGTGATAATTCCCCTCAACAAGACACCCTGTGATAGCTGATGCACGAATCTGAAACACATTAAGTCACACAATCTCCCAATAATTAAACACAATTACTATAAGCTATTATGTAAGACTTTAAAAACAGTGCACTTTGAGAAAAACGGAGATATATTGCATCTTTCCCTCATAGGACTGTCAATGTAATATAAACTTTTTAAAACCAATAAAAACCTGTATTTACATTATACCTGTAGGAAATAAAATTTATTGATAAATTACATTGTTAAAAGTTTTTAAAATATAACTCCTGCATTTGTCCGAGAGTGAAAGATTTCCACTGGGCTTGAAACACTATTTTTAGCCGGAGCTTTAACCAATCCAGCATATCTACGCAAATGAACCTTGACATGGTGGAGGCACAGCCATTTGTCTTTGGTTTGATTCTCCCACCTCATATGCTCTTGGGTGCTCTTTTACTACCTTAATTCTGTTTTTTCTCTAGAACACCCTTTTGAAACAATATTTTTAATTATTTTCATTTTTAAATGTGTTTATGAGAAAAACTATATACACTTTAAATCAACATCAGCTGTCCAATAAAAGTGAAAAAAGAACAAAGAGAAGACTAAGCACTGGGAGGCAACTCTTTAGAACAGACTCTAAAGTTGTGGACACATCTGTGCTGTTTTTCCCACAATTCCGCAGTCAGACCAGAGAGCAGACAAGGTGACCACAAAGGCAGTTCATTATCTTTTGTCTTTCGACTGAGATCTGTGGCATGCCCACCACACACTGGGCATTGGGCACTGAGCTAGGCCAGTGATGGCGAACCTATGACACGCGTGTCAGAGGTGACACGCGAACTCATTTTTTTGGTTGATTTTTCTTTGTTAAATGGCATTTAAATATATAAAATAAATATCAAAAATATGTCTTTGTTTTACTATGGTTGCAAATATCAAAAAATTTCTATATGTGACACAGCACCAGAGTTAAGTTAGGGTTTTTCAAAATGCTGACACGCCGAGCTCAAAAGGTTCGCCATCACTAAGCTAGGCTCACCAGATCCCCATCTGTGGTACGACTGGATTCTAACAGAAAAGCAAAATCCATAAAAGGGCTACACTAAGTAGAAACAAGATAATGTGGTCTTAACCCAGAACATGCATAAAACCAAAGTCTTGTATGCTTTTAAAGTGGTCTCTTCTCACAGTCCTGGGTCCCAGTAGGGTCCCTTACTGACCACTCTTCTGGGAAGCAAATAAGCCTCTAACGTTCCTGCTGAAGCCGGATCACTACGTGTGCCTCCCCACTAGGAGGCCCGGAGACCAATCCTACAAAGACAAAGGCAATGGCGACAGGCAAATCCTGCTGACCACGGGCCAGGAGTCCCAGTGAAGGACAGCCACTCTCCAGGCGTCAAGGGCAGCTGAAGTTCAAAAACCTTTGCAGCACTAAAATTCTTTGGAAATATTTTTGTTGAATGTAAAACATGAGTTACAATAATGGAAATGGAAACTAAATATATAAATATTTAATAATGATCTACATTCAGAAGAGACCAAAGATATCCTTGATGGATAACAGATACCTTTCATGGCAGACCTACTCTGTGTCACAAGTCATGACGGCCCTCTACATATGCGTGCCCAGTCTACTTACAACCTGGACAGGTGTGCAGCATGGCATCTCAACTTTACAGGTGGCTGGGTACAGGGTAACTTGTCCAAAGACACACAGTTAATAAGGAGCTGAGCTCAGAAAGGATATAAAAATTGCCACTGGTGGCAATGAGGCTCCAAGGTTGAGGAGGGAACGTTTAAACCTACACTCAGGGACATTTTGTTAAACCTCAAACAGAGGTTTCTTTCTACTCATGGCATGTTGACAGTACAGGGAAATTTTTCAAACTCAAATTCTTTGTCAGACAGTCAGATATAAATTTCAAAATAGATATTTAAATTAACATTTTTGATAACTTTTTAAAGATTTTTGCCAAACTTAGTGAGTGCAGTAACAGCTAATAAACTATATTCATTGGGTTTCTTTTATTACCACAACAACACAGATAAAAACTAGGATATTCTTAAGATTTAACAATTCTACTAGAATTATCTGAGGGGCATTTTTAGAGTTCCTAAAAAATAAATTCTACTTGATAGGATGCCAAGGAAACTGGTGAATATTCTCTGACAGAAAAACAGGAACTAGCTGGTCAGCTGGTACCTAGTTGCACAGTCAGCTGGTGACCTGGAGACTGCCCTGTGTTATCTGCTTACACCAACTGCACAGACATTGAGAATTAAACATGCAGGCTCCAGAGATGATCTATACTGACTGTCAAGAGCTTCCAAAATTAAACAACGTGAGTTGTATCTTTAAGATGGTTGCACATTTAAGAATAAATCAAACTATAAATATCCCTATTTTTTTAAATCAGAAAATACAAATGTCTGTATATTAACTCCTTCTGTACCCTCGGTTTTACAACATGAAGTTATAATGAACAAAAAATGCAAGTACAGCAGCTACTATACAAACAAGATTAATGCTAAATGAAATGCAACAGTAGAAAATCTCACCAACCAGGTGGCTGATGAGTCTGACTTGGAGAATTTTTGTACCCAAGTGCATTGGATAGTAACCACAGCCCAGCAGCCACCAGTGTACGTACTAAACTTGGGGGGGCGGAGAGGGAGGCTGGCATGGGAGGTGGGAGCCACCTGCACAAAGGAAAGCAATTAAGAAATGGCAGGGTACAGGCTCCCACCTCAGGCACCCATCATCTAGTTCAGAAACCAATCAAAACAGGAGTTAAAGATGTTCCCTGACTAATAGTCCAACCAACGGCACAGACTAAGTTCAGAGACCCTCCCCCGCAAAAAAGGCCACAGGGGTCCATGGGAACAACTTCATATAAAATGGTTTGATATAAATCATTATGTTAGACACCTTAAATATAGACCATTTTTATTTTTAAAAATAAAATAAATAAAATCAAATATAAAATATCAAAAATTGCCACGCCTATAAAAAACATGGATTTGATTTGGACTTTGAATATGACTAGGGGAACCCAATTTGTTCATCACCTAAAAAACCTTGTATAATTCTTCTTCTTCCCATCTTCTCTACCAGGCACTTCATCTTCAAAGATTTTATCTACCCAACAATTGATTAAATGATAAATATGTATTCCCATTTTTGTTAGTGCTTTACATAATTTGAAAAGCATTAAATGATAAATATGTATTCCCATTTTTGTTAGTGCTAGCAAACCAACTTTACATAATTTGAAAAGCAAAGGCATTTGACATTTTAATGAACGTTTTAATTTTATTCTGAATAAAAATAGATTTCTATGAGGCTTAGAAATAACTCATGTATCACCTCAAAGCCCTTGTAGGCATGAGAACCTCAGGATCTGACCAAACTTGGTGGCCGATCCAGGCGAGTGGACCACCATGGACATAAACATGGCGCCAGGAGGACCTGTGTGCCCTTCATCATCACCACACCAGCAGTCCAGGAAACGAGGACTCAATAATGGGAAAGCCTTGCCTTTCAGCAACCTATTCCAGTGAGCAAAACTTGGACCAAAAAAGCATGCTAACTTTTCTCAGGTATATTTTACCATTATCTATAAAATAAGAAATTATTGGTGGTCACAAATTTTACATCAAACTACTAAAAATATCAAGTTTAAGATAACCTACATGATTCTGTAAATCTAAGTCACAGAATGGACTAATCTCCATATTTCACGTCAAAAATGCCAAACTACTGCAGTCATTAAAAAAGACTAAGAAATCAAATGAAAAGACACAGAGGTAAAAGAACATCATTTCCCATAGCCCAGAAGTTTCAAAAAGCTCTCAATAAAAGACTAAGAAATCAAATGAAAAGACACAGAGGTAACAACATCAGTTCCATAGCCCAGAAGTTTCAAAAAGCTCTCAACAAGCCAGCTGTTTTAGAATGAACCACATGCCTCTCTTACTAGGAAATGCCAATAGGTCTCGCCAATCTCATTTCTCATTTGCTCACTAGGGTTCAGCCATTGCAGCCTTTTAAACAATCCACCTCACAAGCTCCATGCAAACTGCCTCTGCCCTCCTTGATGTCCAGTGAGAGAAAACCGGTGCTAAAGAGGGAGCGACCCATCCACACTGTCACCGCCTGGGCACGGCAGATGTAGTCGGGCTCAGGTATCTCCCGCAGATAAGGGCTTCCCGACCTTGGCTGGCTGAGACACTCAAGCACTTGAACAACTTAAAGTCTCACTGCCAAGTCTGGTACCAATGTGAGAAGTAACTGTATCGTCACTTTAAATAAATCATTCTGATGGCAGCCAGGAACAATGTGCTACCTACACCAGTAACATTATACATATAAAAGCAGGCTTACAACAATTACCATCACCTTGATTAATCTTATGATTGAAATGTTTAATCATTCATTTCACTTGTAATCCTTATCTTTTATCACTGAACAAACATGCAGTTTTAATGTTCCCTTCCATTATTTATATTGGACATTTTAGGGTGACATTCTAAGGTTACATTACACATTTCATTGGAATTTTAAATAAGCCCTTAAATTTTAAAAAGCTAGCCATTATATTCACACTTGCTCTATCTGCATAAAGAAGGATTCATACAAAATTAATGCAAGCAGTTACTTATGGGGGGACAACAGGACTGATGGGAAGGCGTGTGATGAGCCTGCTCAACACAGCTTTTCAGTTTTGATTTTTGAGCCACCTAACTGCAATACCCATTCAGAGCACACTTATCTATAGAGAAACGGTCTGATAAATTATACACCTGCTGTACAAATGAATTAGCCTGTCCAAATTCTGTTTTCAATTTATATATCCACTGGCATACAAACCCAGCTGATGTCATTTTTAACTCTATGTATATGTACAGGTATACTTGTCAACGTGTCTTATGAACTAATAAATTCTGGTGTTAAGAAATAAGGCTTTGGTTTCTTAGTTTGTTTTAAATCCTAAAGATCCAGGCTTTTGAATATAGGGTGTGCCTTCCTTCCCAATAATTCATTTCTAAGACTCTCAACTCATATGTTAGCCTTTTGTCTAAACCAGTACTAAGTCCTGAATGATATTATGTGTGCTAAACCAAGTGAGCCACAATTATCACTTTCTAGTACTTACCCATCCAAGAGATACTGCAAAGATACAGCATGCAAAACTCAGTACAAACACAGAAAGCAAGAAAGAGACTGGCTTCCTTTGTCCTCTGCTTCCTGACAAGTCAGAAAAACCTTCGGTGTCTCCTGCAGGTCTGCCAACCCCAGAGAGCCACTCTTCCAACCCCCCGGCTCCCAGCACCTGGGACGCCCTTTCTTCAATCACTTTCCACACCACACCTACCTGTTCCATGAAATGTGTCTGCTAATACTCTTCCTTTATTAAAATCACAATGATCCACAGTGCATGATCTAGTCTGCTTTTGCTCACAGGCATCTCCCCGTGGACCATCCTGCTCTGTACTGGTCCTGTTCGCCCCAACACACATGTAGGGAAAGTGTGGTGAGTTTTACACTCCTGGATCTAGTCTGCTTTTGCTCACAGGCATCTCCCCGTGGCCCATCCTGCTCAGTACTGGTCCTGTTCGCCCCCACACACGTAGGGAAAGTGTGGTGAGTTTTACACTCCTTATACTAGAGAGATGCAAAACTATTTTAAGATTTTTAAGAATAGTTTACTACAAAAATAACAGATTCCAACCTCAATTATAAGCATGTGGAATTCCTTTCACATTAGTTCATATAAACTCCTAAAAGACATGACGCAGAACACGAAATACCTTCACAAACGAAACCTGGGGGTGCTCTTTGGCTAACTCTGCCATCACGTCGTTCATCTGAGCACATTGCGGAGCCCATGGTGCCCAAAAATGGACCACAACGAGGGACCTGTAAACAAGTAAAATGCAGTTTTAAAGATATGGCATCTTTAGAAGTAAGCAAATACTGATATAGATTCAAGTCTTCCCCCACAGTTACGAGAACTGCCTGAATCTTTTTGTTATGTTAGAATTTCATTGTATTAAACACAGACTAAGATAGAAGGTCTTGCAAGGTCTTGGGAATCTTCTAGGTGAATTTTCAAGTTAATGGTATTTCTTAGTCAATACTTAGCTCACACGAAGTGGTTCTGAATATTCCTCCACCTTAATTAAGAGTCATGGAAGTCACCTACACGTTCTGACCCTTAGGAGAGGTGCAGACCAGATTTCTGTAGCTGAGGTACTATGTTCGTAAAAAACGACTGCAGAAGCATGATTACTGTTAATGATAGTCTTTACCTTTTCAAACAGAACTATGATGAAGGGGCATAATGTAACCATAGAAACAGAAATAAAATACTGAAAATGAAAGCACGCAAGCAGCAAACATGGAAAAAATTGAACTGCTTTTTACAAAGACATACTTTTTATATTATGCTACAAAGATTGTCTAAAAATTGATAGTATGGACAAACAGAATAGATTAATAAACTGTTGATGAAATTCTTAGGAATCTCTGTATATATCTATCAACTACTCTCATATAAAATTATCTTGCCAAAGATAACTTTGTCTATCTTCATATCCAACTGAAAAACCCTACAGTTTTACAGAATTCTAAGCTCAAATATAATCCCCCAACAAAAAAAACCACGAAGAAACAAACAAAACAAAACAAACAAAAAAGATCTGAAAATTCAGGAAGAAAACATGTTTTAAATATGTTACATGGAGAGAGGAACCAAGGGTAACTAACCTGAGGGCAAGGAAAATAATACAGTGAATTATTTAAAGTGAATTGGGTGAGAAGGAGCCCACCACCCAGTGTCGGGAGAACGGAAGCAAAGGGAGGCCCTGGGGTTCCAGAGGCGGGAGGGGCAGGAGGTGGTGACAGTGGAGGCACAGTCTGGAGCTGACTCCGAGTTTCTGGCCGAGTGCAGATCCTGGTACAGAAGCCCCCAACCTGAGAGGAAAGGGAGTCTAATGCTGTTTGTGATGTGATGGTCTGGAGCTCAGGAAAGAAGTCTGCACTTGACCTGCAGACCCGGGAAGAAACAGTCAGTGCTGGCCTCATGCGTGGCCATGCAGAGGGACAGAGGCCAGGCCAGAGTCTCGGGCTCCTCCACACTAAGCTGCAGGGCAGGTGGCGGAAAAGGCGCCCAGGTAGTGGCCCAGAGGTACCGAACGGTTAGAGGGCCTCCCAGAGCCAAGAAGAAAGAGGTGACAGCCATCAGCTCAGCAGGAAGGGCAGTCAGCAATGGGGAGGGATTCCAGTGGTAGCAGGGCCGGTCCCACGGCAGCGTGGGGGGACTGAAGAGGAGGAAAGGCAGACTGCTAGAACTACGCTCTTATGAGATCTGGCTGTAAACAAAGAATGAGGCAGAGGCAAAGACAGGATGAAGGAATGGGTTGTTTTTTAAATATATTTTTATTGATTTCAGTGAGGAAGGGAGAGGGAGAGAGAAACATCAATGATGCGAGAATCACCTATCGGCTGCCTCCTGCACACCCCACACTGGGGACCGAGTCCACAACCCAGGCCTGTGCCCTGACTGAGAATCAAACCGTGACCTCCTGGTTCATAGGTTGACACTCAACCACTGAGCCACACCGGCCAGGCAGGAATGGGTTTTATTAATACAAGAAAGCCTGGACAGTTTATTTTGTGAGGGGACACGGGGAGAAGCTGAAGAAGACCGCGAGGTTGAGTGTGCGAGGCCGCAGAGGCGGCAGGGGAGGGAGATCTAGAGGAATCCACCTTGAGAAGAGGGACTGACATTTGTTTGTGGTTTCACCCATTCTCGATGCCTGGGCCAGAAGCAGAGGCATCGAGAATGGGTGAAGCCACAAACAATGTGTAAGTGCTGGGGGAGGAACAGTAGAAGGAGAGCTCGGGAGATGCTCTGGAAGTCCTGTTTTCCCAGGTAAGAAGCAAGGTCATTGCTGACACCAAGGAAACCGGCGGGCAGGGGGCAGAGAGAGGACGGATGCTGAGGGGAGAGCTACAGCAAGGAGAGCAGGAGACTCTCCAGGAAGGCCCACCGAAGGTGGGAAGGACACACTAAGTGAGGCCCCAACCAGTGCGTTACCATCGTATCAGCAGAGGGGGAAGCGGCAGGTGCAAGTAGAGGCCTCAGGGTTTGGGCCAGAGACGCTGTGTCCTCCAGCACTGACTCCTCCGCCTCTGGGACAGCCTGCGGTTCCGTCTTCCTTGCAGCTGTTTGGGTCTGCGTTCTGGCTGCTGGCATGCAGGCCAGAAGTGATCTATCTGGCCCCTCAGAACCCTCCCACATGAGCCTCTGCAGAGGATAAGGGGGCCCGAGCCCCAAGACCTAAGGCGTAGGGAGATGAGAAGCGAACCCCCGCAAAAACCCATGCAAGAATGTTCACAGTGGCCTTGGACATAAAGGCCAAATCCTGGAAAGAACTCAAAGTGCACAAATTGGAGAACCTGTAAAATTCATCCAATGGAATACTACTCAGCAATAAAAAAGAACCAGCTATAGAGACATTCAACAACATGGATGAATCTCAGAAACATACTGAGCAGAACAAGACACAGGACAGGGAGTTGTGTGACTCCATTCACAGCAGAGTCCACTTTCCGGGGCTCTGTCCTTGTTTTAAATGATGGTTACTTGTGTGTATCCACCCAATTGCCAAATTCATCGCACCTAACAAGATCTGGGCATTTCATTATAGCAAGTTAATATCTCAACTTTTAACTAAGTTGAAAAAATATTTTAAGATCAAAATATCTATAATAATAAGAGTAATATGCTAATTAGACCGGAGGACCTTCTGACAAAGCCAGGGCTGAGAGGGAAGCCTGGGTCCCGGGTGCCTGCGGGTAGCCAGTGCTGGCAGTGGGGGGCTGGGGCGGGGGGAGCCTACTCTTGCACGATTTTTGTGCATCGGGCCTCTAGTTCAATGATAAAAAGGATAAAGTGAAATATCCTGCTGGGTAAAATTAAACTGGAACCTTTCAGAAATTTCTTATACTTTCAAGTCTCTATCCTAAGAACACAATTAAAGAGACAAAGGTATATGTATACAAATACTTCCCTATTATTTCACATAGCAAGTAACTGTAAAAACATTGCCCAGCCCTGGCTGGTGTTACTAAGTAGTTAGACTCTAACTGTTAGAGCGTCGGCCCTTGCTCTCGGGTTCAATTCCTGGTCAAGGGCATGTACCTGGGTTGCCGGTTCACTCTCAGCCCATGGTCCCATGGTCGAGGAGGGTTCAGGTGACAGCCAGTCAATGTGTCTCTCTCATATCAATGTTCCTCTCTCTCCCTGCCTCCCTTCCCCTCTCTCTCTGAAAAGCAATGGAAAAAATATCCTCGGATAAGGATTAACAAACAAATATATGTATATATGCATATATATGGTCCAACAACATAGTTTTTAATAGTCATATAGCAAAATAAAGCCATTAAAATTATATGTTAACTTTGCCAATGACGTTTTAATGACATGGGATATGATTCTATTTTTTCAAAATTAAAATAGGTTACCAACCTTTTTTAAAATAGTTTTTAATAGTCATATAGCAAAATAAAGCCATTAAGATTATGTTAACTTTACCAAAGAATTTTTAATGACATGGGATATGATTCTATTTTTTCAAAACTAAAATAGGTTACCAACCTTTTTAAAAAAATATATTTTCATTGATTTTTAGAGAGAGAGAGAGGAAGGGAGAAGGAGAAAGAGAAACACCCATGGAAGAGCAGAACACGGATGGATACATGGGCTGCCTCCTGCACAACCCTAGCTACGGGGGATCAAGCCTGGCCCGGCATGTGCCCTGACCGCGAGTCAAACCGGCCGCCTCTTGGTGCACCGGACGCTGCCAACTGAGCCACACGGGCCAAGTCCAAAACGCCGCTGCCCCGGGCAAGGCCATAGCCTGTCCTGCCTGTGAGCTGCCCGCAGGCACGG